GAGGGGGGGAGGGACGCCTGCTCGCGCCGGTACGAGGTGCGGCCCCGCGCCGCCCAGGGCGCGCTGGCGTCGTCGCCGCGGGCCACCGCCGGGCCGGGCGGCGGGCGAGGGAAGCCCGTGGCGTGCGCTGCTGCCCTGCCTGCGCGGCCAGGCTGTCAGGCCCGTCAGTCTGTCGCCTCGGCTGCGACACTCAATCAATTTGTTGGTCAGTCAGTCGTCGTCGTCAGCGAGCGGGGCGGGGCGGAGGAGCCGCCAGCCCGACGAGCGGGAATAAAGGACTTAATGCTGGTTTATCTCCGCTCATTGCTCGTGTGCGTGTAGACGGGGGCTGCGCACACACTGTCCGTTTCTCTCTTTCTCCTCTCTTTGTCTGCACACCCCCTTTTCTCTGTCCCTATCTCCCCCCCCCCTCCCCCACACTCACAGCGTTGGACTAGTGTGCGCCGTTCGTGTGCGTATTGCTTTTCAGCGACTGGAAGAGAAAGAGAGGGGGTGGGGGTGGTGGTGCGCGGGCGGCGCGCAGCCTCATCCATTCGTGATGACGTTACACGGCGACTATTCGTTTGCCCGTAACCTCCCTGGCCCGCCTCGGGTCGTAGCGTGGCGCGGCGGTGCGCGGCGCCCCTACAACCTCCAAGCGCCTTACAGCCCGGGCCAGGGGCAGAGCCGTCGCTACCGGGCCTTACGGTGGGCCTCGCGCGGGGCTAAACTCGAGTTTGTCTTGCTTCGGCTGCTCACAGGGGAGGGCCGCGGGGCGGGGCCCACAGAGGCCAAGGGGAGGCCCACAGTCCAGCCCCTCTCCTCCTACCCCCGGGCCCGTCTGAGACCTTTACTGTTTGCAGAGGGGCGGCGGCTCGTCAAAGCCAAGTGGGACTCGATGTCCTGCAGTAAGGCGCCGCCTGCCCGGGTAAGATAGACGGGGAGGAGCGTACAGCGGGGCGCCGCCCTCGCCCTCCCTCGCTCTCCCTCTATATCCTTCCCTCCTCCTCTCTCTCTCTCTTGCTCGCTCCTCGCCCTCACCCTCCATCGCTCTCCCTCTATATCCTTCCCTCCCCCTCTCTCTTGCTCGCTCCTCGCCGCATCACTCCTCCCCCGCGCTCGCCGCTCGAATATCCTCCCGTCGG